CACCTGCGTGTATCCATTGCTTAGCTCTTGTCTGTACGGATAGTGTTCGCTCACCAGGGAAACTTGTTCCAGCAGGTCGTGTAGAGTAATTACAAGGAATGGAAGGAGTGATGGGCTGAGAGTAAAGCGCGATCAACCGATTGTAGACGGACGTCAATCACCGCCACATCCATCGGGCTTCAGTCGGAGAACCTATTTGCAGAATCGGTCAGGTCGTTTTACCGTGCCATCGTCGGCCCAGCTGATCAACTGATCTGAGCCAGTCGATCAGCTGGTCCGCTGGTCAGCCAGGCCGGCTGTTGTTTTAGGGCTGGTCCACTGGTCGGCCGCCCCAGCTGTTCTGGTCAGCCGGTGCGGTTGGTCGTCTGGTCTGCTGGTCAGCCAGGGCTCTGGTTTGCCAGTCAGCCGGTCCGGCTGTTGTTCTGGCCAGTCGGTCGGCATGGTCCGCTTGTCACTGGTCATCTGGTCGGCAGGTGGGCGAGACCTGTGTTTCTCGCTACGGGGGCAGCTGCTTAACGATCGGACAGCACACGAGCTCGGTCCACTTCCAATTGGTGGCGAACAGTGCGATGATGCCGTAGCGTCTGTCGTCGGGACACTGGGCGGTCCAGGCGGCGTTCGGGTCGGCCGCCTGCTCTTCCGTCACGTCCAGCGTCGTCTGCGACGCCAGCCGCACCTGCACGCAGTCTTCGCCGACGCTCCAGCCGGCGCCGACCGCCGTGCACTTGGCGTGGCGCGGCTGCTCCAGGTAGAAGGGCTTGGTGATCAGCGAGCGCTTCGGGTCATGCAGCGCCGTGATGACCATGTGGACGGGACAGGCCGTGTCGGCGTTGCCGGCCGTGTCCAGCAGCGGCAGCAGGCGCACCTTCTCGTGCAACAGCCGGAAATCGTTGCCGGGCCGCGCGCACTTGAGGTAGTCGATGTCGGCGCTGTGCGGGGAGTTTAAGAGGGACAGGCTGTCTGCGATGGCCAGCAGCACGTCGTGGCTGGTGTGGTCGCGGTTGCAGTCGACCGGCCACGGCTGGCCGATGTCATTGGGCAGCGGGCCGACTTGCGATTCGGCGGGCGTCACCCGCCGGCTGGCGTAGGCCGGCAGACACGCCGACGCCGTGTCCCAGTCGCTGACGAAGCCCGGACGGCACTCGCAGGTGGCGCTGACGCCGCAGCGGCTCTGGTTGGTCGGACAGTCGGCGTCCTCTAGGCACGCGCCGCTGGCGGGGGGCGCGGCGGCCGGCAGCGCCCAGCGCACGTACGTGGCCGCGCCGCCCTCCGCCAGCGGCGCCGGCGCGACCTGTTGACAGAGCACGCAGCGGCCGGCCTGGAAGCGGAAACTGTCGGCTTCGCGGCGGCTGGCGAGCACGGCGCAGACAGTCTCGGCCGGGGCGGCCTGGTCGGAGCCCACTGGCTGGCAGCCGACCGGCTGCAGTCGCCAGCTGACCGGCTCACTGGCGGCCGGCGCCAGCAGCAGTACAGCCAGCGCCGCCAGCGCCGCACGCGGCACCGCGCTGGTGAAATGACCAGGAAACGGTCTCTTGGTCCCGTTGGTGGGCTGACCTGGGGACGGCTTCATGACCCCGCGTGTGGGCTGACCTGGGGACGGCTTCATGGCCCCGCTGGTGGGCTGACCTGGAGATGGCTTCATGACCTCGCTGGTGGGCTGACCTGGGAATGACTTCATGGCCCCGCTGGTGGGCTGATTCAGGCCTCGGGTCGGCCGGGCGGCGGCTGGGGTCACGATCCGTGGGCCTGGATCACAGTCGAGGCGACGATCGTTCTGGGCCGGTGCCCGCCGACCGACTGGCCCGGCTTGTGCGTCGCCGGCCGGAGCCGGCGGCTCCACACAGGGCCGCCGGAGGTCGTGTTCCGGACATCACGTGGCGAGGAGCCATGGTCTGCCGGCCGGCCAAAGCGCCCGATCATTGTCCTGGCTCTTTTCAGCAGCTGTGCGAACGGAGACAGTAGTGAGTGTTTGGTGTACACCTGTGGTGGGCGCCTGCCTGGCCGGGCCCACATCGGGCTGGCACGGGATGATTGGTCACCTAGTCCAAGTCCATGGTGCTGTCACCATCCGTGATCGGCTAGACCTGTGTGACGGCCGTGTCCGTTCCAGCGGCCGACCTCGCGGCCGATTTATTCGTGAACGGCAGGAGGACAGTGCGGCGGCGGCCCAGCCCTATTCAGAACGTGTCTTTTGTGTCAGTGTTACGGACGTAACGGCGCATACAAACCCCCGTGGGGGTTTCTATCATAAGGCCTGGGGACCTGTTCACAAGTGTGCGGTGGTGTATGTGTGTTCGCTTGCAGCAGCTGTGACGCTTCCAGCTTTGGTTCATGCGTAGGTGCGCGCAGACTGCCGTTAACTAACACAGCACGTGTAACTATTTTCGCTCATAGCGTTCACTAGGCGAAGTGGAAACGTCGCGTATGCACCGGACTCTTGTGTTCTTGATCGTTAATGCATTTCTGTATGTGCGTAAATAACGCATACAATGCCAATGACGAAGGCGTTACATGCTTGGTGAAGTGAACGACCGTTCTTTATACGACGGCCAGTTTGCGATTATCAGGTTCAATCATCAGCTGAATGGGAAGTATTCATTCGGTCAATCTCACCACTTCAACCATGGCACGGTACTGTTCCTGAAAACGAGCGAGCACAGGCCCCGCGAGCATCGACCCGCAATGAGCGCCTAATGCCTGCTCATTCATGGGTGATGATGTGGCCCGGTGATGGTGCCGGAAGGCGGGTAAATCAGGTGTCGCACGGCATGCAATAGCAGGCTGTAGTTCTTCCGACGTAAAGTGCCCCTTGGTGATGGTCGACATCGCAGGTGGTGTGGTACAGATAGGCCGCCGCTGCTGGCCCGCTGTCTAGGGCAGGTGGTTGGTGCGGACGGGCCCGTTGCTGCTGGCCCGCTGCCCGGGGCGGTCGTCTGGGACAGGTGGTGTGGTGCAGACGGGCCCGCCGCTGCTTGGACAGTTGGTGTGGTGCAGGCGGGCCCGCCGGTGCTGACCCACCACCCGGGGCGGTCGTCTGGGACAGGCGGTGTGGTGCAGACGGGCCCGCCGCTGCTGGCCCGCCGCTTGGACAGTTGGTTTGGTGCAGACGGCCCCGCCGCTGCTGGCCCGCTGCCTGGGCGGCTGTCTGGGACAGGTGATTGGTGACCCCCCGCAGCCAACCGGGTATGCTGTAGGGCCGCCATAGCGAGTGAGGCTAGTGTATCTCGCCGGTGAGTCGACTACGGCAGGTCTGGCGGGCACGACCCTGGCTCGGTGGGGAGAGCAGCTCACATTGGGCACGCGCTGGCGGACGTAACGCATCGTTGATGCCGTGGCCATGGGTCATAAGGTCTGGGCTCAGGTACTAAATTATGTATCAGTTGAAAGAAGTATACAGTTTTTGATCTTGCTGTTGCCTCAATGAGCTGTTTCTGCTTCTTTGTGTGGATGATAAATTTTGTGATTAAGATATGATTGCATAAGTGCTAAAATTACTGCTATTGACTTACCAGGGTTCTATCAGTGTATGCTGGCAAAACCTTTTAACCAGCTGGCAAAAATGAACGGTGTAAACTAGAAACTGGCACAAGGTAGTTTCTGTAGGCTAGAATGCCAACCCGGACCTTGGAAAGAGTCCCGAAATCTTTGACAAAGCACAAACAGCGTAATAAGGCCTCGTTTTCAGTCAGTGTAGTCTGTTTACCGGTCGGTTAATGATGATGAGATTAATGAGACGTAGGCTGAGGCGCGGCCTGGGAAACACAGATGTTTCATGGATATACCGCTTTGGTGCTTCATTACTTCGGTAGCGCCAAAAACTGTTTTGTGCAGCTCGGTTTCAGAATTTTCCCAAACGCGGGTTTTGAGTGCGTGTATTGCTACGTACGCAAGGCCTCACGATGGCGGAAACCGAAGAATACGATCACTGCTGACGGCCGACGCTGACGTGCAGGTCCAGCGCCGGCTCTGACGTGCAGGCCCAGCGCCGGCGCTGGCGTGCATTCCTGGCGCCAGCTCTGACGTGCGGGCCCAGCGCCGGCTCTGACGTGCGGGCCCAGCGCCGTCTCTGACGTGCAGGCCCAGCGCCGGCGCTGACGTGTGGGCCTAGCGCCGGCTCTGACGTGCGAGCCCAGCGCCGGCTCTGACGTCAGTCCCAGAGCCGGCGCTGACGTGCGGGTCTAGCACCGGTGCTGACGTGAGGGCCCAGCGCCGGCGCTAACGTGCGGGCCCAGCGCCGGCGCTGACGTGCGAGCCCAGCGCCGGTCGTGCCGCAACGGCTGAGACGCCCCCCTGGCCGTGGTTGGGCTGTCAGCCGGCGCTTGTTTGTGTGGGCCCGCGGTGTGTGTGTCAGCGGGTCTGACCTTCGGCCGGCAGCCGCTCCGGCGCGCCGTGCCACCGCGTGCCGTCCGCACAAAGCAGATGGGCTGCGCCGGCATCGACGCGCCGCCCTGTGTCGATGCCGTTGCCATGGGGACCACGCGGCGTCGGGGCGCTGCGCCCGTTCTGGGAGGTGTGAGAGAGCGCGCGCGCGTGAGAGATCAGGCCGTCACCAGCCGCCAGCCTCGTGCGGAGCAGGCGCCGCCGCCGGAGGCGCGCTGACTGCCGGCCGTCTGACACCGCCGCAGGCTGGTGAGGTCGGATCTGGCGGCGCCGGCCCCAGGCAGCACCATTGCCGACCGGCCGTGTTGTGCTCCCCGCGCCCGTCTGCCGCTGGCCCGAGGCCTGACCATGTAGAGGAGGGCGGCGTGGTTATGCCGGCGGCTGCTCCGGTGCCGCCGTGACGTGGCTGTGCCGGCGGCTGCTCCGGTGCCGCCGTGACGTGGCTGTGCCGGCGGCTGCTCCGGTGCCGCCGTGACGTGGCTGTGCCAGTGGCTGCTCCGGTGCCGCCGTGACGTGGCTGTGCCAGTAGCTGCTCCGGTGCCGCCGTGACGCACGCTCGGTCCGGCAGGAGGCGCCCCATGGTGTCGCTGGAGGCGCCGGCGCCGGCTGCCGCTGACGGCGCCCAGCCGCCGCCGCCGGTGCCCGGCCGGCGGCCGCTGGCGCTGCAGCCGGCCGCCTGCACTGGCAACGCGCTCGGCTTCACACCCACCCAGCGGGTCCTGCTGCAGACCGGTCAGTGGCGGCCGGCGGGGCCGCGCTCGCGGCGGGACACGTCCGGCCTGCCCCGCTCGACACCTGCGGTTTACGCGCTCCTCGCTGTATGCGAACCCATTTTTGATGATAGTTGGGGCATTAGGGCGTGCCGACTTCTAGGTCATTTTGCGCCCAGTGAAAGCATGTGCACATGTGTGTGTGGTGGCAAGGTGTTTGCGAGACAGCTTAACTCGCGCCCGATATTCCCATTGGCTGCGCACACATGGTGAATAATGACCCGCCTAATGTCATATCCAGGGGGTTTGAAGCTCGGTTGTGATTTGATTCATTGGTCGACGATTTTGTATTTTTTTCCGTTTGGAACATCGTTAACCCATTGCAAAGAGGAAGAGGACTCGCTCACAGCCGCTCGCTCAGAGGACGCTTCAGAAGAGCGAATTATGCTCCGCGTGAGCATAGTGACTGACTGGCGTTGTCCCTGGTTCTAAAGTCAACGCTGAAATGCTAGGCCCCCGCAGCTACGTCAGCAATTTTAGCCAGCTCATGGGATTGTAAATGTCTATGTCACATCTATTTCCATTGTAGCCGGAATGTTTTAGATGTAGGTCATGCCAGGTCATTGGCTCAGACGGCTGTACTTTGCGGCGTGTCGGAAGAAAGTGTAGATTGGTGAACATCTGCTAAAAGTGATGCGCTCCAGCGTGGTTATTCCCCACTCTTGTGAGTTTCTCATCTCGTTAGCGCGCTTTCCTGACATGCAGCTAGTATCTTGAGACTCAGTAGAAGAAATCACACCGCCTACGTCCAGTGACCCACTACGTCCCCCTGTCACGTACCTCCACGTGACAGGGGGACAGGGGGGTGACAGACCAGTGCCGCGACGCTACACGTACGCGTAAAAAGGCCCTGCGGGTTTTTGATCGGCACAGCGCTACGGGCGACTCAGTCGCATTTCCACCAGCTCGGGCGGCAGCCCGACGTACTACTTCGGAGGCAAAGCCCACGTCGTGGCGCTCATATGTGGACCGGCGGGTAAAGCGTATAGCAGGCCAACACTCCTCAGTGCCGCGCCCCGTGCTTCGTATAGATGGCCAGGACATACTGCACCCATCTGATGTGGCGAATGAAGTCGCTCGCGCGTTTGCAGAGCGTTGCGGGCGAACAAATACCGTCCCCGAGTCTATGCACCGCCGTGCTCGTTGCAAAGCAGCCGAGGTAAACTTTCATGCAGCGGAGGAACTCCTATGTAACAAAACTTTCACAGTGTGACAACCTCATAACAATGCGACCTAAGAGCATAGCATATAACCATAACAACATAACATTGTAAACAATAAATAAAATGAATATAGCCAACATTTCACTCAACTTTGTCCGCAATTGAAAGGGTGCTTCACATTTGCATGGGGTTTCGAACCGAAATAGCCATCTTGAACATCACTCGGTGCAGTTCACATCCCTGCCGTTCTTAAGACCTAAACCCCTCTATTTTCTAAGGCGCATGCCCGCGGACCTCTTTCGAGGAAACTAGTAGACTAGTAGACTAGTAGCCTCTGTCGAGGAGACTATTTCAAAGTCAGCCAACCATTCATGACGCTACAGTAAGTCATTCAAATCCTGGCGTTCCAATAACCACGCGGCGCTCAAAACCAAGACAAGTATGATTGTCTGGTTGCTTGTATCTGGCGTTCGTGAGCACAATTTCCAGCTATAACGGCCGTCAGTTGGCTCTCAGTGTTGCGTAAGATGCGGTGATGTACTCAGACAATGACGTATTGAGGAGCAGTACTCAAGCAATGACGTATTGAGGAGCAGTACTCAAGCAATGACGTATTGAGGAGCAGTACTCAAGCAATGACGTATTGAGGAGCACTACTCAAGCAATGACGTATTGAGGAGCAGTACTCAAACAATGACGTATGAGGAGCAGTACTCAAGCAGTGACGTATTGAGGAGCAGTACTCAAACAATGACGTATTGAGGAGCAGTGCTCAAGCAATGACGCATTGAGGAGCATATTTACTAAACAGAGAAGTTGTGTTGTCTAAAGCAGTATTTTCCACGTAAAGTATGTCAATAGTCCTAAGTTACCTAATCCTATCATATCTGATGCTTGCTTAAATGTCTTCCAATGTGGACCATTCCCTTCAACTTTCTGCGCAGCGTGACGAAAGGCCCAGCCCTCATTTATAATGATATGCTCCGGTGACTCCTACAAACAGCAGCACAAGGGATATTGGCGGCATGCAACCAGTTGTGGAAGAAGAGAAAGTTTCCGACCACTTGGCGGAAGTTGTGCATAGTTCTGCTGCAAGGGATAGTAAGAACGTGACAAATTCTTCTGACTACCGCTCAGTGGCACTTACCTCGTACATGTGCAAAGTTGTGAACGAATGGCTAAGACACGATTGTCTCGGTTTTAAAAAAAAGCATTTTTACAAACGTTAGTGTGGTTTTAGACAAACCGTAGCATTATTGGTCATATTTTGCCTTTTGGCACTAAGACACCGAACTTGTTGAAATACGTGTCACGGACATAATACGGAGCAGATCGGAAACTGCTTTTATTGTTGTATCGTCCACTGCTTATATCTAAACTTGACTACGGTGTGTTATATATATGACCGTGCGTCCACCTTCGAACGTCGTTTAGACACCATATATCACGCATCACTGCGCATAGCAACCGGTGCGTTCGAAACGGCTCCAGTTGCAAGCCTTCTGGCAGAGGGAAACGAACAGCCGCTCTCATTTCAGCGTGAGATGATGCTTGGGATGTGGTATGCTCGTAAATTGGCGTAGTTCCTTAAACATCCCACCTGCCCGACAGCCTTTTCGTGGAAGAACGTCTGTATCACTTTGAACAGCGTGACCGGTCCTGACGCGCTGTGATATAATAGGAGACAACTCGCGCTGCCTTGAATCTAGCAGCTCTCTTTGTTTCTTAAAAAGGTAAACTTGGACACTATTGACACGGCTCATTAGTTAGGTAAAAGCGTCGTTTTCAGCGCCAAATGACCACTGCAGTCAGCGCGCCGAAAAAAGCTGATAAACAACACGTGTGACGAAGCGTTTTAGAGACGAACGGAGAAAGCTCGTTATAATTTAGAGACGAACGGAGAAAGCTCGTTATAATTTAGAGACGAACGGAAAAAGATCGTTATAATTTAGAGACGAACGGAGAAAACTCGTTATAATTAAGAGACGAACGGAGAAAGCTGGTTATAATTTTTTCTTTAGCTCCGGGAGTTGTTCCGAGAGAACGGTCTAAGACGGAGGGGCGTGTTCAGGTGTAGTCGCCTGATGTGAACTCCATGTTAAGTATGTGCTCCAATTGTTGGTCTTTCATGGGCACGGGTTGAAAAAACGAAGGCTTGTCACGCGCGAGGTACTTTGGTTGGGGCGCTGGGGCTTATTACCTCATGTGAAGAACACGTAACGACTTTTGCAGACGGAGCCAAACCGGATCGGGCGCTGGCTCTGCGTTCGTTTGTGGCCATGCCTCTCTTTCATTCTCGCTGCCAGAACACGCCTCTGTGTATACCGCAGAACTTGCTGCCGTCATTAAAGCACTTTGCTGCACTGAAATTACTGGCGATAAACGTCACTGGGTCGTATCTGACTCCGTCAACAGCCTCCCGGCTCTCAAGATATTTTACATTCAGTGTCCTTTTTCAGGACATCCTTACTCGCTTAACATGTTTGAACGGCGTGAGGACAATGGTAGTGCTATGCTTGATCCCAAGCCACGTAGGGATTGCGGGCAACGGGCTTGCCGACACCGCCACAAAGCGGGCCACCCTTGGGCCTTGCACACGTTGTTCTCCGCTCCCAGCTAGGAGCTTCTTCCCAGCCATCACAGATTGGCGACATGTTGGGAAACGGCTCTTTATTTTTTTAATCAGGCCAGGTGTTTCTATTTCTAAGACTCGTAAAGTTTTCAGGGGTATTTACTACTTAATAGTTGAGACATAGCACAGCCCAGAACAGCCGTCATAGGCGCAATATGACCTTTGATGTCGACGCGTCCTAAAATCTCAAATCATGTTTTGATCCACGGGTCGCATGAGAGTTCAAGATGTCGGATGTTTAAACATTTCATGTCAAAGGATGTCATCATGTCAGTGACTTCATGGGCTAGTTTAAGACCACAGACTGTTTGTGGAAAAGTTAGAAGCAGCCTGATTTGGGGACAAGTCGTATATAAGCTACAAATTTAGGGATGAATACCCCGCACCCTGCTTTTTATCGATGCCATTTGTGTCATAGCTCCGGGACAATCTTGTCATCCCGCTCCTCGCCGTCCATTGCGCTCTGTCTTTTGGTCTGGTTAGATTGGAGATGCGCTGACCTGGAAGTGTTAGCTCTGCTGTGGGATCTAGGAGATTTTACCATGCGGAGGCCCTGCGTCGGTGTGCGTGTGCGTCTGCGTGTGCGTGCCAGGACGGCCGTGAGACCGACTCATGCCTGGAGGCCGGAGCATGCTTCTGATCAGACAAGGCGCTGCGAGAACACACCATGAAGCGTTGAATGAGTAATAGAGGTAGTTCGTTCTCTCTCCTAGTCGGCTCTGAGTTGGCACTAGTCATTCAAGTCCCGTCATTGTAAAGATGCATGGTCTCCTCTGGTTCAGAAAACAAGCGTACGGTTCCGCAACGCGCTCTTACCATTGGCACCGGCTTTTGACAGGCCAGGTGAATGGACAACCAGTTATGATGCTGACACCGGAGGTGGCGCGTAGCCTGGGCATAGTGCTGCCATCTCGTGGAGCCATGCCAACTCGAGATTACGCGGCCGGCGTCAGGAGTCCGGAAATCAAGTCTGAAGTGGACTCGGAAGTGAGTGCTGATGTCTGGCCGTATCGCCGGAAGCCCCGTCTGATCTTTTGACCCCCACGACAAGATTCTGCTCGTATCCTGGCGTGCGTTGACATGAACACGGTGGCGTTACGATTTATGTCGCCTTGAAAGCGATGTTTTCCCCGCGTATCCTTATGGTGGCTCTGAGCCTATGTCGTCTCCCTTTACTTATACCATGACTGAAAGCTGCCTGTGCACCGTGCAACTATATACTTCGCCCAATGTTTCACATCAGCGAGGCTGTAATGGCCGAGAACGACCAGTCAACACAGTCGCTGCTTCGTTGTTCACAGATGATAGACCCCGACCAGTTTCTGGAAACGGAATTGGCTTCTGGGAAGCCGGAGTCGGTGGTGGACGAGGACCTGACATCACTGTCATGGTTGCATAACAAAAACCTGCTAAAGGGTGAGCGTCATTAACTGAAGTACTGTAGGCTGAGCTCCCGTGTCTGGCAAGCTATGTGTGCGTTTCAAGTTCAGCCGGGTCCGTCCAGCTTCTAACGGCGATGAAGGCCGACGATGTTGACCCCAGGCAAATGGCACGTGTTATTTGAACTCGTTCAAGTGTAACTTCTGTTCTTGATTCACATGGTGTATTTCTTGTTGCCATGTGTCGTTCGCTCTGTACGCTGCAATGTTGATGCAGTATTGTCGTTGGCATGAGTCTCTCGAGAGCCTGGTGGAATTTCCGTGAACAATAGGCATTGATGCAGTGCGGGTCCAGTGCCCAGACGCGTGAGTCGTGGTAACATGTGCAATTGTGACAGCATTCGTCTTCTTTTTTTTTGCTTGTTAGGGTTAAATATCTGCCTTATCAAATAACGATTTAATCCTTGTTTGATGGGACGAGATGATGCCTGTTCAGTCACGGAGTCGTCTGTTGTCGCGTGTCGGCTGGCTCCCGGTCAGTGTGAGCTCCGTCCGATGATGCCTGGTGTGGCGGCCGGCAGACATTCAGCTGCGGCCGGCGCCGGCGGCCGTCTCGCCGCCTGGCGAGCTGTCGCCCGGCCCGGGGCCCGGCCACGGCTCCCCTACCTCCGACTACCTGGAGGAGGCGTCCGAGCCGGCCGACGAGTCGCCGCTGCGGCCGGCGCCCGACGCCAGCCGCTTCAACTGCCGCCGCCAGCCGCATCCGCTCGCCTACGACCCCAAGGTGGGTGCGCCGTGCGCCGCCCGGCCACCGAGGCGGGCTGTCGTGACACGCTGGTACTCGTGCCGTTGTGGCGCTGCTAGTGTACTGGCTGGTCAATTAGACTGGTGCGGTTGACTGATGCGAACGGAAAGTGTTAAGCCCTGTGGTTCTTGTTTATGGTGATGAATTTACAAGTGCCTCGACATGGTGGAGAGATCTGGCTGCTGACAGGATTGTCTGGCCAGACGAAATCTATATTGCTCACCTGTATGACGGTTGAGGCCACAGGCTTGCTGAATATTGCTTGAACTATGGGACAGTGTTCTCCTGGTGTGGGCCGGCACACCCCGACGCCTCACCGTTTTTGGAAGCTAATGTGATTACGAACATTCATGACATCCTTATGTAGCTTCCAGCAAGAAGAACCGCAATCGTCTGACACTTTGATTTGCTGTTCATAGGCATTTGCGAGCAAGCTGTTGGCCAGGCGGGGTTTTTTCAACATTGTAGTATCACTAAGATTTAGTCCCTTATTTTGTGAACCCTCGCCCTGATTGAGGGGGGAGGAGTTGAAGCGCCCCTCCCTTAAGTTTTCTCTGAGAATGTCTATCCGTCATGTCGTGCAATCGCGCCCAAATTTTTAATAGCCCATCGTGCATCAATCGCGCCTATTTTTGGCACCAAACATCTGTCCTTAGCATCTCCGGCTTCGGAATCCCGGCGGCTTAGGTGAACAGTACACGACGTTCTACGGCCAGTGCGGGTAGCGGGCGGTAGTCGACGATTCCGCGGACCGCGCGCGCGACGAACCGACACTGTTGCACTAACATAGCCATGCGTGATCAAAATATATCAAAAACACTTACAAATACTTTCCATTGCAGTCAGGATTGGCCGAGGAATATGCCTGTTTAGTTTTCGTGTCGCGACGAGTGTGGCCTCACGCAGGTAGGCATGTTACGCTGAGAAGTTTAATTTTCAGGAAAATTTTACCTTTGACCTGGCATAATTAGAGGAATTATTACGCTAGAAACGTAAACCTTATTACCAAACGTGAGATCCCGCTTAGATCAATTCATTAGTGTTTGCCGTTAGGCTCAGCTTTGTTAGTTAAGAAACGGCATCGGGGTGTCGCATTGACCCTCCCCCAATCAGTCCCCGTTATGAAAAGCGGCGAATCAGGGTGAAGGTTAGCATGAAACAAGGAAGGTTTTCAAAATGCGAGAAAGTCATGTCATGTCATGTCATGTATTTATCACGAATCGTTTCATATGCTTGGATTGATATTTGAATCAAGTCAATGGGTTACAAGTCACACGCTAAAACGAAGTCGAATAATTTGGTTGGAAATCAGGCCCAGATCTCGACGATCCGTCTTCGCAGCGCTAAATAATATAACAATCCAGGATATATGATAACACAATAATGTAGCATAACCGCAGCACAGAATCCACTACAGATTCTGCAGACTTCATCTGTGGAGGACTACAGTCCGTCTTGTAGCTCTTTTTACTCCGCTTTGCGGGCCCGCGGGCTGATATGTGGCGCCTCTAATCTACAACGCTTGACGGCTGCAGAATCTGCAGTGAATGCTGCAGCTATTCTCTGTAATGCGCTAATGGGCCTTGATACATACCGTCGTGTGGCCGGTTGAATACCATTCGCTGGGGTTGGTGGGGTTCAGTTTGAGCCCCGCCCAACAAACAGGGTCAGAATCCAGATTAGTGCCCAAATTGTCTCCAGACCTCCTCACGCAACGGCCGTGAACCTACATACCTGATCGAAACAAAATGTCAGTGGTTTTCATTTAAGATCATTGACCTTGTTTGACCCTCATGAGGGTTTAGTGAACAAAAACTACGGGATTGCTCCTATTTTGTCCTTGAAATAAGTATCAGGGGCCACGCTAGAGGGCATGTTCCTAAAAACAACATGTTGACCTGCTATATTTTAGGTCACTAACCAACTCCCTGACCTTAAAAAAGTCCATGGCATATATCTGTTGCGGTCCCTATTACGAATAGATTCGAAATGAACACCGCCAACTGACTCATGAAGCGAGCTCTTTGAGTGAGAAGCTGGTTGAATTTGTTGTAATTCTGAATTCAACTGGTTTATTGCCTAAGAAACTATCTCAGAGATGTATGGATTCCTCTCACCTTCTGTTGTCACATCAGATTAAACGATTCCCCAGCAAATAGCCTTCACCGACAGCCACGACCTGGCTTGGACCTGCCATAGGTTTAGCAATTTTGCGGGATGCATTTTATTTTTTGTACCAAGAGACTCACTATTCAGCTGCCTGCAGTTATGCAATGTTTGGCCTAGCTTCACCGCGCCGTTCGAAAATCATTCTGGGAAAGCCTTCGGGGGGGCAGGGGCAAATTCACCCCTACCCTGGCGCATGTTAATACCCTCCCTTCATATCTGCACGTTTTGTAACATTTTTCTCATCAAGGTGTCGAGCACGTACGATCGGTAGTCTTTTCATCGCATCAGTGGTATCCATGGGTCCTGGATGCTGAAGGCTTCCGGCTGCATTGGCCTACCGACCTTCCCACACTGTGCAATGCGTCGTACCCTTTGCTTTAGCAAGGAATTCATCATGCTCTGTGTTCAACCCACTGGCCTATAAAAGTCACGCCGACATCTCTGCAAACCACGCTCATCACGCCACAGCCCTCCTACCGGCAATGCTGGGTCGCCGCAGTCCCATGACATCCGGCTCACAATCGTCGGTCTTCTCCGCCGGCGGCCTGTGCGGGGCTGACGAGTGCCGCAGTACGGCGCCGTGGGGCTTCGTCCCGCGCTGGTGGGCATTGTCAGAAGCCCCACCGCGCCCCCACCCCACCCCACGCGGCGCGTCCGGCCGAGGGCATGGGTCCAGCGTCCGATCGGTCCGAGTCGTACGGCCGGGGTCCAGCGTCTCGTGGCCGCGGCAGCCAGCCTGCGTGTTCACCGACGTCGATGTGCAGTTCTCGGCCGCCGCTAGTGCCGCTCCTCAGCGTCATCTTTCTTGCTTGGTCATTTGACGTACGAGTATGATCGCAATGAGGAAGCTCTTCGAAACTGCAACGTTGTGAGAAGCCTAGAATGGAGTGTTATTTACAGGCATCATGTCAGTGAGACAGTTCACTGTGATCGCCGGACGTATGTCATTTGTCGTCCATGAAAGTGATCCGGGGTGCAAACAGACAGTTTGTGCAGGATAGCATGGCCTGACATGTGCGGACTAGAGAGACCAGAGAAGAGTGCGCACATGGTGCAATGTCCGTGCAGAGGTGACGGCAGATATGGCATGTGTACTGCTGCGAGGCTCCTGTGCCTAAAAGTGGAGCTAAACTTGTGTGACCCCAACGGTCTGATGTCGATGACTGCAAGGACAGCGTAGGTGGGACGTGGTGACCGGATGGGGGACCGGAGTGGCCACCTTGATAATAGCGCGGCCAGCGCCTTGACGTGAATTCAAAGCTGTAATATATATATATATATATATATATATATATATATATATATATATATATATATAATATGTAAGTGTGCCTTGTGTTCGTGATGCTTAGACAGCATAAATTAGGAGTTTGCTTCGGAAAGCAATCGACCTGCAATTTTCGAGGAGGCACTGGCGAAACGACATTATTGAGCCATCAGTGGTTATGTTGAGAACATTAGGCGATTCATAGCTGTGTTCATCGTCAGATTTCGTTGTGAAAGTCAACTGACACTGAGCCGATTTTTCTGTCGCTCTGGAACACACCACACGAAATGTGTCGAATCCATTCGTGGACGCCCTTCTTGCGATGAAGTCAGGTGGCAGATAAATCGTCGAACTTACATTTGAATCCGTGGCCGCCGCTATCATATTACGTTATGATTCGGCACACCTACATGACTACAAAGCAAACAGGCCTTGCGTGTATCGCAAAGGCGGAGAGTGGCGCGTGCATATTCTGCGGAGCGGTTACCCGTAACACCGAGTGAGCTCCTCCGCTTGTGCGGCGCGCTCTCGATTAAAAAAGCGGGTATGCGCACAGGTCTCGGGGGCACGTCCTTCCTTACGAAACGTGTAACGTGCATTAAGAGACGCGCGACTAAGTGTTGACAGCTCAGAACTCCAGGCAGACAAGTAACAATGAAAATACCTCGAACGCCAGATGCTGTTAAGCCCCTAGCCCCTCTCCGACGCTTTGGGAGTGGCGCCCAAAGCGCCTCTCGTGCCGTGTGGCGATGGTGGCCTGGTTAGCCGATCGCTCTGCAATACTCCGCGCTGCTGGTCGATGAGTGGCGGCATCCCCCAGTTGGCGGCGGCCCACCGGCCTCCTCGCGCCACAGGCTGGCCGACTTAATGACCGAACATCTTTGGCGATTCTGTCTGCTGGGGCCATTTCCTACGCAGGCGGTTGCCATGGTGACTAATTTGACGTGATTGGCTGCGGTCGGTGCATTGTCGATGGGGGATCGTTTCCGCCGGGATGGTCGTGCAAGACACTCAATCAGAGGCACGGATCGGCCTGATTGGCTGTCCCGCGCCAAGGGAGCAAAAAGGCTGAGCATGCGCCCGGCTGCCGTGAGTGGCGAGCCACTGGTGCTTCCGCTTCAAGACTTACAGTTATGTGCCCTGTGTGACCGGCTTTTCACCCGTCTAAACACTGCACCGTGACCAGTTCCATGAAACCTGGAGATGCGGTCAACAACGAAAAACGTGGCATGCAGATACGCCATAATTTTGCTCATGTGTTCAGGACCGTGCAGTGTTGGGGAGGCAGGACAACACAATGTTCTCGGCAATATAAGATCGCGCATATGCCGTCCACCACAAATTTCGATGCACGGTGCCATTGCTTTGGGACTGGCTTTCTCATTTCGAAGCGAAATATCATGCACATCCCTCGGAATTCCTTCGTGTAAAAGCGTTTAACTGCATGCCACCCGTAACGACGAGGCATCGTCAGATGAGACTGGCACTCTTGTGATTGCGCTCGCGGCTCAGCCAGCCGGGCCCGGTGCCGCCGTCTGGGCGAATGGTGCGGCGGCGGGGACGGCGGGGACGGCCGGCGCCCGCCGGGCTGCGCCGACGCCGGAACCGGAATCGGCCAGGCGTCGCGGCCTGCCCGCCGGCCGGCAGCACGCCGGCTGCCCCTGTGAGTGGCGCCTGAACGCCTCGGCCTGCAGATGGTCGTCCTCTAAATGACCCCGCCTTAGTGACGCAACTATCAGTCACCAACGTCAGACTGTCCCCCAGGTCTGCCCCCCCCCCCCCTTTGATTGCCCGTCCTCCGAGCCAGCCGCCGTTGCAGTCGTCTGTCCTCCGAGCGGCCACCACCGTCACCGTCTGTCCTCCGAGCCGGCCGTCGCCGCCACTGTCCGTCCTCCGAGCTGTTTATGCTGCTGATGTGGACCCGCAGGGACGTGCGCCGCGTCGCCGCCGCTGGCGGGCTGTGCTGTTGAGCCCGGCCCGTCTGCTGGCGGGTCGCGCTGTTGAGCCTGGCCCGTCTGCTAGCGGGTCGCGCCGTTGAGCCTGGCCCGTCTGCTGGCGGGTCGCGCTGTTGAGCCTGGCCCGGCACCGGGCGGAGTGACGGCGCCCGGCCGGCCGCCGCCTCCACTGCCGCCGGTCCCAGACTCCGGCGCAGGCCTGGACACGCTGTCAGCCCCCCTCTCCCGCGTGTTGCAGGTGCACGTGCACTTCAAGCCGCCGTTTTCGTTCTCGTGCCTGATCTTCATGGCGATCGAAGACTCGCCGCGCAAGGCGCTGCCCGTCAAGGAGATCTACGGCTGGATCATGGAGCACTTCCCGTTCTACCGGGCGGCGCCCGTCGGCTGGAAGAACTCGGTTCGACACAACCTGTCGCTCAACAAGTGCTTCAAGAAGGTGGACAAGGTGCCGGTGAGGCGTAGGCGCTGTGTCAGACGCAGGGAGGCTGTTGGCCAGCCGCAGGCGCTGTGTCTGGCTGTGTCGAGCGCAAGGTGGCTGGTAGCCGGCCACAGGGGCTGTGTTGGGCGCAGGGTGGCTGTTGGCCGGCCGCAGGCGCCGTGTCCGACGCAGGGTGGCTGTTGGCCGGCCGCAGGCGCCGTGTCAGGCGGAGGGTAGCTGTTGGCTGGGAGCGGGCCGTTCGAGCTCGGTTGTTACCCATGTTGCACGCTGATGACCAGCTCCTGCTGATGGGTAACTTGCTCGAGGCGACGGATCGCGCTTCTGTTCGTATCGCTTGGGAGTCGCTTCTGCAGACGGGGACAGTTGCGGTGGTGGTTGCGTTATGTTGTTTCTACGCGCATTCAATCATCGGGGTGCGCATAACTACCTTCCTTGAAGTTAACATAGACAAAGCCACGCTTATTCCTTCGGATGGACGCGATCCATGGCTTTCCGCACGTTTGATTTGATTCACCTAAAGAGACATAGTTTACCATAGTTGTGCGTCCAGAATGGACATGGTCCATGGTGTCGTAGTATGCTCTGGAATGCATTTGGCTGATTTAATCAGTGTGGTTGTTGATAGTAGAAGTGTCTTCGATGGCTGGACACCGTACGGAAGAGCCCTCCGGGGTTTCAGGACTCATTTAGGTCAAAAAGGTGTACGATACGCGATAACTTGATTGCAGACTTGTGTGAATCTCAGGATAGGTGTGACTCTCAATGCCGCTCGGTCTTCAGCTCTAATGACTTCGCGCTTGCGACGTGCGGACAGGCGTGTAATGGCACCAAGTCAAGTACGCCGGCCGTTATCCCCCTGCGGTATCCCGGCGCGGGTCTCGTCATCACTGAGTGCTGTGTTAGAGCGGCGCATGGTTCTGGCGAGTTGACGGAAGTCTCTCGAAGCTGCGCAGGCCTGCTCTGCCGGGCCTGCCGATGTTGAAGGGACGGCCTGTCAGCTGACCCAGGGCCGCCTCCTCCGCCGCCAGTGCATGGGCAAGGGCTCGCTCTGGACCGTCGAGCCCATGTACCGGCTGAACCTGATCCAGACGCTGAAGCGCTCGCCCTGCGTGCACCCCTGGAAGGTGGAGAACGACTCGGCAGGCAAGCCGTGGGCGGCGGCGGCCGCCGCGCTCGGCCCGGACGACTGGCCGGCGTCGCCGCGGCGCGTGCGTGTGCCGCGCGCCCGCTACTGCCCGCCGCCGCGCGCCGACCGAGGTCAGCCCCAGCGTGCCCGCTCCCTCGTCACGCACTCGATCATGTGTTTGCTGAGCGCACACATATGCAGCTAGGGCGCTCTTCATGCTTTTTAGATGTTGTAGATGCATTGCATGCCTCCGGTCTGGCAGGCGCAGTACAATTTTTAAAGTATTAATCTTGTTCTGTGCCAGGCAGATTCATCTTCCAGTTGAGGTTGAAGTCTAAATTAAGCAAGATGCCATCGTGCTCAGATGTGCCGAGAAGTCCTCATCTTTGGTGATGGTGCCACTGGGGATTGTGGAGGATCTACGCTAGGCAGGGGGGGGGGGGGGGAGGACAGCAAACAAAAAGGGAAAGTAAATGGGTTACAAAGAGGAGGTGCGAATGATGTACATCAACCATGCCTTAACGGCATACCAATGTTCTATCCGACAGGCGTCTGTCCTGTGACGGGGCGCTCTTAACGGCATACCAATGGTCTATCCAGCAGGCGGCGAGGAGCGTCTGCCCTGCGACGGGGCGCGTAGCAACGAGAACTTGCCCAACCCGGAGCTGTTCCCGTTCTTGGCGCGCCGCCTGTTGTCGGGTGCAGACGGCAGTACTGCACGCGACGTCCACCAGAGCGGCGTTGACGCCATTTCGCTGGCCGATGACCGCCTCCTCACACCAAAGCTCGGTATGTGGTGGCGACGTCAGCCAATCACTTCCGCGGGCGTGAGTGAAAATATACATTTTATGCTGGCGCGCGGTAGCGCATGGAATTGGCTGTTTTTAAATATTTCTGACGTACTACAGCTGTTAATTTGGGAAGGTGACTAAACGGCAAGGGCGTGTATCAAAGTATTATATGAATATGCATGCATATGTGCGTATATGAACATGCACCTTACGTGCATTGCGTTTTTCAGCAAAAACGTACAAGCGGATCAGAGAAGGAGACTTCGAATATTTGGCTACGGGGAAGATGAGGAAGATCGAGAGCAAACGTTTGGTGAGTCAGAAGTGGCATGGGCGATTTGAAGTGAGGCGATCAGTATTGCGATACACCAGTTTCAGTCACATGATGCCTTGTGTAAGTGTGTTAAGCGTCGTTTTATATTTCTTACGTCATGTTCTTCATTGCGCATAGTTAAGTTGTTTAGTCTTTCAGAAACAGCATTTGGTGCCGGTATTGTGTGTGAACGATTTTACCGTATCATGCCCTTTCGTTAGTTGTACTTTTTCGTCACTGTATAACTGTGGTAACGAGCGTCATGCGTTTCTCTGCAACTGTATCAGTCTCGAGACATTGTCATAATATATACTTGCCCACAGCTCCTGAAAATAAGCACTGTGTTGGTTTTTGTCCAATTGCTTTCAAGTTGCAGTCCGGCCCGTGCTGTTGGTGTCGCCCTGACTTTTCCGCTCGCTTGTAGTCTTCCTGAAACAGGCCAGTGTCCGTTGTTCAGTGACGGCACACTGGGGAGGACAGTGCAGTGTTCTTCCGGGATCGCTGCTGATCGCTGCTACCCCGATAGTGTTCTCGGCGGTCCGCTGCTGGCCACTGCGCCCCCGGCAGTGTTCTTCGGGGACCGATGCTGACCACTGCTCCCCGACAGTGTTCTCCGGGGCCGGCTGCTGACCGCTGCTCCCCCGATAATGTTCTTCTGGATCTGCAGCTGATTGCTGATCCCGACAGTGTTCTCCCGGGTCCGCTGCTGACCCCTGCTCCCCCGATAGTGTTTTCCGGGGTCCGCTGCTGGCCTCTGCTCCCCCCTCTAGTGTTCTCTAGGGTCCGTTGCTGGCCTCTGCTCCCCGTCTAGTGTTCTCCAGGGTCCGCTGCTGACTGCTGTTCTCCCGATAGTGTTCTCCGGGGTCCGCTGCTGACCACTCCTCCCTGGCAGTGTTCTCCGTGGTCTGCTGTTGGTCGCTGATCTCCGGCAGTGTTCTCCAGGGTCCGCTGCTGGCCGCTGCTCCCCCTATAATGTTCTCTGGGGTCCGCTGCTGACCGCGGGGTCCGTTGCTGGCCGCTGCTGGTCGCTGCTTCCCCCCTCTAGTGTTCTCCGGGGTCCGCTGCTGACTGCTGTTGTCCTGTTAGTGTTCTCCGGGGTCCGCTGCTGACGTCGCCGGCCGGCCGGCCTGCATCCGGCGTGTGATGATGATCTCCCGCTCGGCGGCCGAGGATCACACGTACGCCGTGCACGAGCGAGAGCGCTCCGGCCCGTCGGCCGCCGACAGCGAGGACGAGGCCTTCTCCGACGACTCGAACCTCTCGCACGAGCCCAGGTCAGAGCAGGTCAAGTCAGATAGCGTGAGGGCTGTCCGTTCGCCGTTTCGCGGGCGACTCACGTCTGTACACTGCTGTCGTCCAAAGGCAAAACCCCGAATGTTCATTCCTGGCCATTTTGCGTTGTTTTATGTCATCTAATTCCTCTCGTCATGCTGAATGCGGATATCTAAACCAAAAGTTGAAATATTCACAAACGTTTAGCGGAAAGAAAGGGCTAAAGGCTTGCGACAATTTAAATTGATTGTTTGAATAACCGAATTCATCATGAGTAGACGAATCAGGTGACATAAAGAAATCCAAGACGACCAACATTAGCGTATGGGGTTTTACCTTTGGCGGCAAACTGTACCGGATCAGAGACCGAGAGAGAGTCGTACGCTAGCAAAACGAAAATGATTGTCCGGCCAGCGGGATCAGTTGTTCAACGGCCGTTCTCTGGAGTGTAGCCACACTTGGCACGCTGCGCATGGGGCAGAAGCCGACTTTGTGTCGGCTGTGGGTGTCGTACACGCCACGGCTGCCTGGTGTGGAGCCTGGGTGAGCCCAGTGGTGATCGGTGCGGAGATGGTCGGCAGAAGGGCCGCTACGATCCAGCCGCTGTCACGCTGTGTGTCCCGCTGTGGGGTGGACCGGCCGCGACGGTCGCCCGGCTGACCTGCGCCGCTGTCGGCAGCGGGCGGCGCGGCGACCTGACTCCCGAGGAGGTGGAGCGACGCTTCATCGAGGAGGGCGCCGACCTCCTGCTGAACCTGGCCGGCGTGCCGCGCTCGCGGTCGCCGGCCGAGCGGCGCCGCCGCGGCCGGTAGGCCCGCCGCCGCCGCCGCCGCCGCCGTGCGTCGGCCTGTAGTCCTCCTGTTGTGTGGTGGTGTGCGCGTGCGTGTGGTAGGGCATCGGTGCGCCAGAGCCGGGCGATGGCCGGCAGCCCATCATGTGCCAAAGCGGGCCGGGCGGAGCCGGCGCCTGCCGGCCCGGCGGCTGCTCGCGTTAGAGCTCGCCGCCGCCGTTATACACTGGCTGCGCGGCGCGGCGATGTCAATCATGCATAGTTCTCAGGCGGACGACGGACGCATATTTCTGACCGTTTGTCTTGCTTACCATAAGGAGTCGAGAAACAACGTCGAGTTTACCGTGTTTGTTACGTCGACTTTACGCTTTTACCCTCCGATATTCGGTGTGTTCGTACATGGTGTGGTTAGGCCTATTCCCCTTGGGCGTTTGGTGTCCCGCGCTCCACCGCTCTCTTCGCTTCCCCCGGGGCCGCAAAACGAAGGTGCCGTTTGGCGTCGGCGCGTTTTCACGTTAGCGTTTTCATTGGTCTGGTGGCGCTGTGGCATCGGCATTGTCTGTTGGAGTCGCGTCGGTATTGTCTGTTGGAGTCAGCGTGTACAAAGCGGCGCTCCGAGCCGGAGCGAGCGTTGCCCCGGCTGGGGACGGCATACAGGCCGGCTGGGTCTGGCCCCTGTCGGAGCAGTAGCGAGCGTACAAAGCCAGTCCACCTTCGTGGAGCTGTTGAACGGCGCTGGGCAGACTCGGCCGGGCGACTGTGAATCAAATACAGGCGTAGTCTGGTGGTAACGCCGTGTGTTCCTGACGACAGGGAACGCTGTTGGCCTGGCCACGGGCGAGAACACATTGTCGGTGTCTGCGCCTTACACCGGGTCCAGTCTTCCAACACCGGGCTCAGCCCGTCGGTATCCGAGCCAACACCGGGCTCAGTCCGTCGGTATCTGAACCCAACACCGGGCTCAGCCTGTTGGTATCCGAGCCCAACACCGAAACTATTACGTTGAAAGTCGAAACACAAAGTCGAGCGAAACGCGAAGCGTACCTAGGATAGCAAACTTCGGGATCCTTCCGCGCCCAAACTCGGCGAATTCTCGCTGTGGCTACCAGATGGACGGTTTATCCACTCGTCCTACACAGACAGGACAGTGAACCGGAACAGGCGGCACATTATTTCTAGATAGTTGCCATCAATGAGGCTTCTTCGTTGGAAAGACAGCTGCAAGTTGTCTGACACGGCCGCGAGTCTCAGGGCAGTCTAGCTGGGTCTTTGAATGGTGCCTGCAGGGAACCAACCTAGACGGGTAGCGATATCGCGACGAAGCCCGTGCCAAGCAGCCACAAAATTGCTTGCGGCAAAGCAAAGCACCTGGACACGACAAGCGCGCTCTGGAGGGCAGTGACTCGAGCTCCGAGCTCAGTGTGCATGCCCATATGGCGTTTGTAATGCGCTGCTGGCGGGTAGCGTGTGGACCGAAAACAATAGAATTCAAAAACCGACGAGTGTATTGTACTCGCAGCTGACCATGTACCAGGGCTATCGAATGCACACAGTCGCAATCTGTCAGTTGAATAATAAGCGTATTTCCCGAGCCACCATCACCCGCTTTCATTCTACATGCACACTGGGCAAAGGAGTGATTTGATCAAACAAGGTCGTCTGCCGCTGCGATATTGCCGGCTGATACCGCCCCTACGATGATATCGTTAGCAGAAGGTTGCATCTTTCATCATTTGGCTAGGTGCCCAGGTGAGATCATTTGTCTAGGTGAAATGTGCTCATTCTATTACCACCCTTTAAATAACCCTGAGCCCCTGAAATATGATGCATCGAACATTTGCTGCTGCTTGAGCTTGGTTCGAGCGCTCGTTTCCCCCCTGAAGGACCGAGCGAGGTGAAGAGCTGGTCGAAGCTAGAGCCCGGTGCATACTTTCCTGACTGCACGAAACTCAGAAATGATCTTGGACATAAAGGGTTATTAAATGGCTGGAGGTCATGCATGCCGTCGGGAAGCGTGAAGCGTGCCACGTGCTGCAGCCCTGGTGAGCGGTAAGATCAGCCGCGGTTGTCTCGGGATGTTCTCGTTCGCATGTATTATGGCAATGTTAAAGTTTCTGCTGATGAGCAAGGCACGGCGAAACAGCTCGACTGTCAATAATCACACATATCCCAATACCATTGGAATAACAACGCAAATGGCCTTCCAAAATCAGAACAGCTCTCGATTGCACAGCAGTAGGCCACCCCTTGACGCCGGCGGCTGTGTCATGCCATTAGCCACTCGCTTCTCGAATGAAAATCAGGAATGTGGCCAGTCAGGCCAGCGACACATGATGCCAGTTGAGCCCCGCGCGCCCTGCCCCGATGTCGGCTCGGTGGATGCCCGGGCGCTTCAGCCGAGCGCAGCGCGGTCGGGCTAGCGCGGCGGCACGGCACCGGCCGAGCGGGCGCGCTGGTTCTGGCGCAGCCGGCGCAGCGCCGCGGCCCGCCGCCTGTTGATCTCAGCCTGGCGCAGACGCACCGGGTCGGCGGGCGTACTAACCGTCGGTGGCGCACCGTTCGCCTTCGCTGGCCTGGGCGCCGCCGGCAGCTTCTGGTGTGTCACGGCGCCGCCGCTCCGGCCCGGCGCCGCTGCACCCGACCGGGCGCCACCGGCCGTGCCGACCGCCGTCGCAGAGACGCCGGTCGTCTGACTCTGCGTGCCGGCAGCCCGGCCGGGCGGCGCCGGCCTGGAGCCGCTGGCCGCGCGGCAGTCTGGCACGGACGCGGGCCGGGGCAGACCGCGGCCCACCGCCGCCGGCCGCGGCACGGCTGGCTCGACGTGAGCGCAGGAGTCGCTACTGACGCCGCTGGAGGACTCGGCCGGTGGTTCGGCACCGCCCAGCGCCTCGTCCGGGATCTGGCTGAAGATCTCGTCCTCCTCGTCCGGCATCGCGTCCATGACGAACGCGTTAAATGAGTGCGAGCGGCGCGGACTGGACGACTGCTCGGCCATCTGGGAGCAGCGCAGCAGCGACCGCTCCAGCTCCGGGTCCGACTCCATGTCGGCCGGCGCCGGAGCCGCTGGCGGCGGCGGCTCAGCAGCGGGCGGGCGCCGACACAGGCTCTCGGCCGTCTCCAGCAGCGCTAACAGCTGCATGTGCTGCTGGCGGGTGGGGCGCTGCGCGCGACGGCGGCCGGCCGGCACCAGCGGCGCCGGCGAGGCGGCCAGCGGCGCCGGCAGCGGCGGCACCCGGTCGCCCGGTCGGTGCACGGCCCGCTTCAGCGCCTCGGCCCGGCAGCTCGGCACCTCGTCGTCCCAGACGATCTCGCACACCTGAGATGACGGCGGCGGACTGAAAGGCGAGATCGGCGAGTCCCAGCAGGCCGTCTCGGCGGCGGGCGGCGCGCGCAGCGGCGTACTGTAGGCGTCCGGTGCGTGCCGCTCTCGCTCGTCGCTGCCGCCGGCTGGGCTGGGACTGGTGAGGCCGCGCGACTCACGCCGCGACAACTTGGAACGAGCTCGTTTCAGCACAGGCGTCGTGTCCATGCTGGCTGGCAGTGCTGGCACTGCTCGACAGCAGTGCACGATGCCAGGGAGCTCAGCAGCCTGACAGCTCAGTGTAACAGCTCAGTGACCTGAAACATGGATGAAGCTTTGTGTCTGCAAGCAAAACCATGAGCCTGATGAATCCTGTTATCCATTGCCTAAATCACATGTGCAGTGTCAAACAAATGCCTGGATCCCAAAAGATGAATCTAGGATCCTATAGGACTCCATATTGACAAGATCCTTGGACCTTTTAGCCAGTTCAAAGCCTCAAAATTGTGTATCCTGATCCAGGATATTCAGATACTTTTTATGGCTCCACACTGCAGGTTCATCTGGTGTGTCAATTAAAGACAAGTCACTCTGTGAAATGTAGTGAAATCAGAATGAAAAGTGGCACTCCACCATGAAAATAAAATGACTCATGTATATCCATATATCCATGTGCCAAATGTGCATGCAATGAAAGCATTACAAACACCATAGCTCACTCCTGACACCAATTGTGACTTTGCATCACGAAATATGTGTTTTGGTGTTATGTTCTTGAGCTTAATAGCAGGCACAGCAGAGAAATTGTGACAATGTGAGAATACAATCTTCCATTCAGGTTTTGTCCAACTGAAAATTCAACAACTGAAGAGGTTTATAAGGTGCTTAGCACAGCACATTGAAGTGTTATGCCTGGATCTCCTTGACTCGAATGCTGTTGGATACCCCATACAGCCCAGGCACATTTCTAAATCCACATTAACTTCATCCAGATCCAAAGAGTGTCAAATGTTGCATACAAGATTGTCTTCAATTTAAGCAACAGGGGAACAATTCTTCAAGAAATTATAATGTTGTGCTGGTGTAAAATAAAATAGTCACAAACAGGTTTCCATACAGAAATACACCGTAACAATTTCTTATGCCTTTTATGAATCCCGCACAATTCATCCTGTACTGTTTGACACATTGGTGTGCAAGCTAGAGCATATAAATGTCATGGATGTGCCAAGCACCATGGCACATAGTGGTTAGAAGAGTATCTAGGAAACCAGCAGTGTGGGCTTTGGCTCCCCATAGTACCTGTCAATCCTGCCTGGGTGAGGCAGGGAATGTCAGAGAACCTTAGCAGCTAGGTGCAACAAAAATCCTCAATGCGGTGTTATTAAACACACACAATATGAGAGGTTCAGACAAATTTTCCTGGTCTTTACTGCGGAGTTTATGGGCAATGCATGAGAAAAGATAGTGAGTAGCCCCTTATCATATTCAAACTAGATCGAAGTGGTTACAATGAAGCCTGTACCTTCACACACAGGTACATTCTCACCTTAAACCTGCAATAATTGCAGATGACAGCACTCAAAGCTTGCTGATCTGACACGAGCTCCACCGCTTACCCCTGCATCAGTGAGAAAGTCCTAACGGAAACAAGCGCCCAAACACCGACGAATGCCGACCAAGGCTTAGAAACCCCTCCGAAACAGACCTCCGCACACAACAGGGCAATTTCATTGATCTGCACGATAAACTGTGCTGTCAAATGATCCTGGCGCGGCCGGGCGCCATAAACGTGAAATCTTGAACATCAATTGCTTCCATATCAGGGAAAACTGTTTCAGCGCCGTTTGAAGTTGGGAACAGGGATCCGCGCTTGAAGAGCGAGCCGAAGCGGCGGTAAGCAAATAGGAGCATGGTAGATATATCGCCTTGGTAGCTGTTGTTTTTTTTTTGTCAGTGAATGCCATTTGCATCCATGAATGTCACTTTCCCCCTGATTTCGGGGAAACAAATGATGGCTTTGGGGGGGGGGGGGGGGGCAGGTTTTCTTCAAGTACTTCACCTTTTTTAGAAGAAGAAAAATCTCCACCGCGAGCGTTTTACGCGCAGTGCGGCACGGGCTCAACCAGCTCGCGTTAGCAGGATTACCCGACTTTGAAATCATACAATCCAAACGACATCTTTAGCACCAAAAGTAATGAGCAGGCAATTAACATCATTCACTACGTCGTTTCGACCACTGCTACTCACAATGCTCGCATGATTGCCTATCATCTTCAAGAAATAACCATCTGATAATATAATAATTTCGGCCACGAACAGGTCATATGATTTTTAACACGCAGACAGCCGACGATTTATAGCATGTACTAAAAGGGCAATATAAGCACCAAATTACGTACCTTCGAGCAATCAAGAAAAGCATCCCAGTTCTTCACATTCGTGTCTCGAATTCATGTTTCCAAACAGACAGCACAGAGAAAAACCCAA